TGAAACCCCTACCCCGGCTTGGGCCCCGGGGATCCCCGCGTGACAACCCTGAAAGGGACCCCAGTGCGCAATTCCAAAGAATGACCCTTGTCAGGGGCCATTCCGAACAACCTGGTTACAGTCGTTCTTTCCATTCTCAGTCAGATGACCTGGTTAGGGTCGTCCTTATCCATTCCAATCGGCCGACCTGGTTAGGGTCGTCCTTATCCATTCCAATGTTAGTGCCCGAGGGGGTGGGCCTCGAGGACACGGATCCCATCTCTGTCTCCGGGGTTAGAAGGTGACCATTTCCTTGGGTTTTTATGCATGCCCTTTTCCTTTGTCCTTTGTCAACATCATTCACTTATTCATGCATACATCCGACTTGGCGTCCAGTGCTCAAGTTGGGGCTCACGGCCCCAAGCAGCACTAGCCCACCCGACCGTTCAACCATTGCAAAGGGAGTGTGCACCATCACTGTTTTCTATCTTTCTGACCTCTCATGCCTCTTGCTGTTGTAGACTCGTTCACGACCGGTTGGATTAGGCTCCTAGAGGAGGGCATTTTCATGTCGATAACCCCATAGGTTCCCTAGCCCCCCTTTACTTAGACGACATTCACTGCCTGACTTTGCTCAACAAGCCAAGTTCATAGCCTCTTTCCAAAATACGATCTTTGTTTTTTCCATGATCCATAATACAACCGCCCCGGCTAATCCTATACCAATATTTTCTGCCAACCCTTGTCTTGCAGAAACCTTTCAATGTAGCTTGTTAGCAAAAGATGACTCGAAAACCTGCCCATTCGCGCTAAGTCTCGACTAGTCCCTGCCTCATTCACTTTTAACAACCTGATTCCCACTGGCCAAGCCTTATCACTAATGTTTCTAACAGGCATTTGTCAAACTCACATCATGCCCATTCTCTTTTGTTGCCGCCAGTCCTTATCCCAATGTCTCAGTTAGTACCGAATATTTTAGAATAACTTGCGTGAGAGGCAACGTCTAGAGATTGACATCAGCCTGTCTTGCCCTTGTCAACTTTTTTCTTTCCTGCCTGCGGACACCTCAGGTGTGTTTTCACCATGGAAAGTCGGCACTATGACCAACTCGCCCCCCCTCATCTCTCTTCCGGCCGTGATGGCCCAGGTGCTACATTAACCCATTGATAAAACCACTAGTTGCGTAATTGCCCAAAATCCTTGCCACTTTGTAATGTTCCCTTACGGTTATCAACCTAAGGTCCTCCTTCCTCCTTCCAACTTGACTACTTCCTCTGCCTATCTCTCGCAATAGGTATCGATAGCTTGGCGATGATCTCCTCAAACCTTTTTTTTGCTTTTTCTGCTTCTCGTCCTCGACCATCCTCGCCCTCACAACCTCTGATCCTCATGTCACATCGCTCGTCTTGGTGCCCTCTTGCTGTTGAGGTCCAACCGTGTCCCTCATTCCTTTCTCAAGTGGCGGTCCCATCTTATCCACGACTCCTCTTCTTCTTTTGGTTATATGTGGGCCCTCAACAAAGCTCGCCTACTTCCTCTTTCTCCATTACCGAAAAGTCTAGGTTATTTAATGTCGCTATAACGCGTCTCATCCCCCCGTGTGAATTCCAGTCAACCCTTTCTCCGATAGGACCCAGGATCTGTCCCTTGAGGGTCCTAGAACACCGCCCTCCTATGATGTCATGGTTAAGCTTCGGACAAAGCCTAACGAAGTGTCCCATCAAGGTGCAATATCGACATGATTCCTCCGAAGGATCTCTCCGACCGGTCTGGTGCTCGGGTCTTGGGGCTCGAGCTTCTTAGGGTACCAACGGAGTTCGAGATACCCGGGCTTGCACCACCCGGAGGGTATCCCCTATCCTTTTTCTCTGGTTGTCCGCCCCTTCCCCTAGATCATGCCACTCCTTCAGCCACCTTTTCACTCCGTACCCGGTTGTTTCTAGGAACTCAGACCCTTCGTCGTTTCGCTGACGACTTTCTGTACTGACACCCCTTTCCTGATCGAGCCAGACTGTCAGTCTCTCCCTTAGATTCCACAACTCACTATGGTCTTCATTTGACAAGGATTGTTCCCCTTTCTGTTGACTCACTCCATGGTCCGCTCCTGGCTTCCTTATTTCCTTCGCGATCCCTACCTCGGAGGGTCTGATTCTTCTCTTTACTCCCGCATTTCCGTTCGTTCCCAATCTACCAGGTTTCCCAGTTGTGCGCTCTCTTCGCGTCTCTCCCCGTAGTTCGTCTTCTTGTAACTCGTTGTCCGCGTCGATGTCCTTTATCATTTCTTCAATTACTCCAACCTTGTATTCAGATACCATCTGCTCCACTTCCTTAAGCCTTCGTAGGGTGTCCGCTACCTTCCTTTTCTTCGCCAAGCCTATCTCCGAAGTTTGTGACTCTTCCATATTACCAACTATGACTGGCATTATTCCTTGAGATTCTGTGGACCTTTTCTCGCTATGGGTCCCTTTACCCAAAATCCCCTTTGCATCGTCTTTGACCCCCTCGTCGTTGGACCTTCGGCCGACATTTATCTTGTCGTCTTGATCCCTTGGATTTCGACTATCCATGTTGTATGTTTGACCATGTCGATTTCGTCGGCCCTTACTGTTGTTTGTGACATCCATAACGTATCAGACCTGCATGCCATACACCCAAAGGAAGGAGAAACTTACTTTAGATTTTACCCCTCATAGTTTTCCTATTGCTATCAGCTCCGGAAATATCTTGCGTCTTCAAATCAGCTTAATCCTTTTCTCGTCGGGGGTGTCCTCCCGCTTCCTCGTTCATCATCTCCTCCAAGAGCTTTGCCTTGTATTCTGCGGTTCGCTTTTCTATCTTTGCCAACCTACGTCGTGCGTCCGAGACTCTTACTTTTTTTGGATACGACCCCATCTGAGTTCCGTAGACCCCATCTTTCCCTGTCCCTTTCTTCCTTGTTCTCCTGAGATCCTCGTTTACTTCCCCCGGCCTTTCCCGAACTTTCCCCCATCGAGAAATCCTTCCCGTCTTCCTTGGTCCCCTCCGGATTTGCTGATTCCCGGTCCCTTATTGACCCTTCATTCCGTTCCACGCCCCTCTCTGTACCCTGACTCCCCTTGCTCCGCAAGTTCCCAGCCTCTTCTTTCGACGCCATCTTTTCCTAACCCTACACATGAAAAAAAACATTTTGCGAAACGGTCGGTCGTTCACAGCTTCCCTAGTTCCCAGGTCCTAAGGTCCTTATATTTGCAATTTCCATATTTTTCCGTCTCATATCGGCCGTGACGGCTTATCTGACGTTTTTTTATTCAGTTGGCCACAACTTTCCTTTCCTCTGCCGGAAGGCTCGCTGTCGAGGTTCGGCGTACTATCACTGTCGTGCCTCTGCTTTAAGGCCATATCCAGGATTTGAGACTCTCTCCTCGAGGGTGACCCCTTTTGCCTTCCCTGCTCCCGGATTCCCTCGGCGTCCTTAGCGGTGGTGGCCTTCCCGGTCCCTTCCTACCGTGTTCTTAGGTAGGATAGAACTCCGACCACTACCTTCCGTGGGTGGTTAATCCCTCATTTCAATTACTTTCGCTGCCTTTTCCCGGTACTTTTCTTACGCCGGTCCCTCATGCCTGTCCTGTTCGTCACGTTCTTCGAACAGGTTGGCCACCCCCGCAAGGTAATTTTTTCCCATTTCTATCTCCCTGATAATTATTGGTTCATACTCCTCAAACGCCAAGTATGGTAATCCAAATATCAGGATCTCGATGAACTCGAGTAGTTCACGGGCTTGATTACCCCAAAATGGTCCGTGCCTAACTGACACATCGTAAAACATTCCCTCCGTCTGTGGTTTAAAATCGTGGATCCTGACTAAGGTTGAGTCCACTAAGTCTCTTGCCCTTGAGAAGCTGCCGAATAACAAGTCTATCATAAAACGGGGTACCCGACACCGCAATCCTGTCATCGGGGCCCTAAATTCTCTCCATCCTCCTACCTCCATCTGAGTTCTCAATCCCACATTCCTTCTCCCTCGAATCTTCTGGCCTATTCGGTTCACTACCCTGGCATCCCTTCATAATATTGGCAGCAGTCTATGTCCTAGTGCCATCTCAGTTCCTAGCATGTGCCACCCAATCTCCGGTAGGTATACGGTCCCCGTCACCCTCGAACGGTTTGAACACATCATCCACATAGCAAGGCGTCGCTGCTACCTCTTTACGGATTATGGCCTCCCTGACCTCTGGAGCTACCTCTAGCCGGTCGTTCCTCTCCATGTCCAAAATGATGAGGACCTCCCAGGCTCTGTCACCGTGGAATGACCCAGATTTCAACGAAGTTTTATAAAATTCTTCCGGCAGCCATTCACAATTTATGTGTATCCGCCCCATAGTGTTGGCCACTTCTGCGACGTGATCAAAACCCTCAAACCAGTCTGCTACGAACTCGGGTACCCAAGTCTTGGTTCGTAGACAGGGAGGCCTAAACTTCTTCCATCCTCCCATCACAGCCTTAGTACGCACCACATCCCACCCCTTGTTGGCAAACCTCTCGCCTGCCTTTCGAGCCCTTGCCTCCGCATCCCCCAGAAGCCACATCGGATTCTGCCCTGTTGCGAGCGTTTTGCAAAACAAGTGTCATCCCTGCTCGGAGAGGACGACCGTCCCAACCGATTCCACCCTACCTTCTGCAATCTCCTCACATCCTTCCTCTTCTCTTAGCGGGTTCCAGATGCGCTCTACCCTAAGGTACGACAATTCCGATACAATCTCAAATCCAACCCAGTCACATGTGGTTCCTCTCCATTCATTATCCACTGGTATAGACATCTCTACCCCCCGGTTAACTCGTCTCGACTCCCATCCTTTGAACGTGCAGTCCCATAGTTGGAGTTCTCTAGCCATCGCTCCCTTCCTGCACAAAGTCAACCACCCCTTTTCCAGGGTAAGCCTCCCCCCTCAGAAGTCTCAATCCTCTATCTCGCCATCGCCCCCGTCATCGCTGAGATCATCCTCTTCGTCATAAAACAATTCCTTGAGTCTTTCTAGGAAGGTCTCCCCTACCGCCACATTCCAATAAATTATCCGCCAATGCACCAGACTAGGGACAAATACGTCATCCGTGCTAAGGAGGTTCAATATCTCTGCTAATTCCTCCGCCCAGTTCCCTCCAAACGGCCCCATTTCTATCGACAGTCTGAAGAAGTCCTGTTGGGCACACTGGTACAACCTCAGGTTCGTCATTGACCGACATATTTGTTCTAATATGTTCCTGGTTCCAAAGACCGCATCCACCAGAAATGGGGGTAGCACGCATCTCACTGCCCTAAGAGGCCGCCTCACATTTCCTCTATCCCCGAGCTCCACTCGCACCTCCACTCTGTCCATTTCCATTTCCGCCCGCTGACACGCTGCCCATACCACTTCTCATTCCGCTTGTCTAAACAACAAGTCCGACACCGTCCCCAGTACTAATTCCACTACCATTGCATTTTCCCTCTCCTGGGATAGGTAAACCCACCCTCGGGCTTCCACCGTCCCCCGGAATTCCAAGTCCATCACGCGATGACAGTCTTGTCAGGCCGACCTTAGTCCATATCGTCTCTATCCAGAGGAACACGTCCTTTTCGTCCAGCATCATAGTTTGATAGGTTGGTTCCATGTCCGTCCACGTTCCTTCCTCCGGGAGGACGACGGATACCCCGCCCCTTACGTCTATTGGCATTTCCAGACCACTAGAATAGACTGAAGACGACAACCACCGTGCCATCTCGTTTTCCCGGTTTCGGTCCCTGCTTTTCAGGAGAGAGTACCACACGACCCCTCTAGTCAGGCTAGGCCCCCCCCCTTTTTTCTAGATGAGCATTATTTCAGACCGCTCATCCGAGTCTCCCTAATTTTCCCTGCCCATTTCCCGAGCACCATTGCCCCCATTGTACCCTCAATTGGTCATCACCAGCCGGCGTTCCTTTTCTTGGTTCCATTTCCTTCCGACTCCTATCCTGGCTCCCTTCCATCTTCTCTCACTCGTGCGGACTTAGATAGGGGGCGGGAATAGATTTAGAAAGCTCGGCCCCTTCCCAACAATCTTAAGCAACTTTACAGAGGGGGGCACAAAAGAAAAAAATTCAGGCAATCCTCGCACACGGGCCGGTCATCTCCTCACCAGCCTTTTCCCCAAAAGTGGTCTCTCCACTGTTACTATCGGCAGAGTTTTATCCCGTACCTCAAGCACAGCTCAACCGTCGTGAGCGCGGTACCCGGACTCCAGTGGGGGGACATCCTCACCTTCTTGCCCAGAATACCCCATCCCGTCTTGCCGCTCTTGTACACCCCCGTTGACACTGAAAATTACCCCGCGTACTCAGTGGGGACAGAAATCAGCCGTCTGGGTATTCACATCCATCGGTCCGATAAGAATCAGCCTTTACCATGCCGTATTGCGAGAGGCTACTAATCGCCTCCGGAGCTCCCTCCGTGCCCCACATGCAGTGGTGCCCCTGCCGTTTGCTGACAAGCAGTTGCCGCGCCTGTGGAGATGTTTCACACCCCGCCTGGATAAGGTCACGAGCAATGCTCGGCCCGCCTAGGAGGGAATGCTACTAATCAACCGACGGGACCAACTCCTGCCTGACAGTCCGGTGGCCCGACCCCCGCACATGAAAGTCTGGCGGCCTACCCGAAGAAAACGACGTTTCGCAACCCGCACTCGCCGGTACAGACCCACCCTTTCCTTTCGAAATGGCAGGACGCTCAATTCCCCTTTCATGCAATCACAAGTCCCAAGTGAGACACACATAATACAAGTGCCTTACCCTTAGTGCACCCAGCGCTTCCTACCCATGTCTCACATTTTTCTCGCATGACCGTGTGTGTCACTCGCCCCTAGTTTCCATACATCGTGCCCGGTTCCTTTTCGTGAGCATCTTCAAGGGTGAGCTAGTTTTTCTTGGAGTCTAGTAACTCCCTTCCTGCCCCTCATCTTCCTTTGTCTGTCCGTTCATAAGGCGGGATTGTTCCTTCTCGATTACCATTCTGTTCATATGAGGTTCCTTCAAGCAGTTCGAGTGAAAGTGCAAGCAGCCCCTGGGCTTCGAAGAAGAGAGAAGAAGGCACCCGCGTTGGTCGGATCAATCCGCCGTGGGATTTTTATCGGAACCCGGCCTAGGCCGAGCACCAACCGCCTGCCAGGTAACCGGATCCCTTCTTTCAAACGAAGAGGAAGGATCGACATGCGGCTTGCCCAAGGCCTCCCCGGACTGACGAACCTTAGCCCAAAAGAAGGACTAGAGTCACCTCCCAAGGAGGCGGTTGACCAAGTGTGCAACACTCATGTTATTCCTCCGTGCCTGGCCTTGGCATGCGCCTAGCCACCCTCAAATTTGATTCTCTCAGGGCAATAGAGCATACACAAGTCCTCATTCCTTATCTTAAGTTATGTTCACGCACATGCATCGGACGCCCCCCTCGAGATTGTATGAGTCAGTTTAACCATACTCGGCGCCTCCACCATTTTGTAGCGGCCGTACCCTGATAGACTTTCGAGCCTGAGTTGACCCCACTGCGGGTCCCATTTGGCTCGACCCGCCCGCGCTCACGCCCAGAGCGCGGTGTCACACTTTTTTCAGTCGAGCTACTTCGGGCGACCGGAAAGCCAACAGGCTGTTACGCAGGATTTTGTATGTGATTGCAATAAATAAAATAAATTAAATAATGCAAGTCCCTTCCTGTTGTATGCGTCTGTTTTCGAGCAAGACCCTTCAATTGTGGTCTTCGCCGGTCCCCGGTCTTATGAATCTTTTATTTTGATTCGGAACAGTAGAGAATCATGCAAATAACAATCATAAAATTATGGGGTGCAATGCATGCATCAATTATGTCAATCTAATTTTGAGAACTGTGACAGAATTATCCA